ATTTACCTTATTATATGGAGATTATTTCAGACCTCATGGATGTGAGATACTCATCTAATTTAATGCATTTGGTCTGGTATGTAACACACTAGTGTGAGGACATTACACCTGAAGTTTTAAAGACACGGGCAGCTGCTTTTTTCATGACATGAACCAAGCATTCAGCTTTTATATCAATCATACTTTTAAACTTCACATGTACTTCCAGCATATCCTACCAATACTACAGTTCTTTGGTCGCATAAATCTGGCTCAGGCAGCACATATCCTGGGGCTCATTAACAAAGCATAAATGTTCTTTTTTCCCTCACCCCATCTATTGTGATAATTTTAAAGTTATCAGAAGCTAGTGTACAAAGACATACCCTGCTGTTTTTGTATCTGCTATGTGGGTTCCACCTTTGATCTTCCCAGGAGTGAAGGTTATTTCTGTTGAGCCAATTTCTCCACCATTCAGCTTCCCATCACACAAATCTCGAATCATCTCCAATCCAGACAGATGCTGAGGTCTTAGAATGACAATACACAGTTAAAGACACATACAAGTAGACCACGTGCTTATGTTACATTAAAACAACCACTAAACACACTAAAAAACTACAACTGCAAATTTTGGATCAGACAACGATCAGAAATTCACTCTGGTTGCTGCAGTACTTCTGAGCTCACAGGAGCCAAAGGAGTAGCATTCAGGCCATACTGGGATATGCAGGATTCTGGTATCTTTTCCACTAGAATGGGCCCAAGACAGATAGATGAGATGCAAGAGCAGCCACTTGTCCTAATGTAATAAATGCTTGGACAGAAGTGCAGTGGGATAATGATGGCAATACTGGCTGAGCCAGAACCAGTTGCAGGGCTACAAGAGAGTTAACAGGTTTGCTATTTACTTGCCTTGTGCTTGTTTCCATTTGTTAGGGTAATCTAAATAGGAAATACACCAACTGTTCTTAACACTGGAAATACGCTAACTGTAGCAACACTAGGATATGCCCTATCTGTTCTTAGCACTGTAGGCTCGGTAAGCTGTGTTTTGCTCAGGCACTACATCAGTGTGCTCCCCGTTTCAAAGCGTGTTCCGCTCAGCACCCGTGGAACCATTTCCCCAGGCCGCGCCCTCACCTGCCCCGCCTGCGGCCCGGGCGGGACCCGCGCTGAGGGCACCGGCAAGAGAACCGAGCGCGCTTCATGCCGCAGCGTTCCCCCTCACTCCTTGAGAGCCACAGACGGGATTTTCTAGCAAAAAGGCTCTTTTAAAGCAAAGGAAACGCAAACGTTTCAGACGAGAGCAGCCGAGGCCTTGCGTGGCCGTGCCCCAGCCCGGGAGGGCCCGACACGCCGTAAGTGACGGGCTGAGCGCCCCGGGACCGCCCGGGGAGGGTCTCACCTGAGGCCGGGCTGGCTCCGCCCGGCGCGGATCCGGCGCACCCGCAGCGGCAGCCCCAGCAGGCAGCTCAGCGCCGTGGACACCCGCAGGATCTGCCCGCCCTGCACGGAGAAATGGCGCTCGTCAGACGCTACGGCGCTTCCCGCACACCCGGCCGGCCCGTACCGCTGCCCGGGGCCAGGTAAGCCGCGGCCCGCCGGCGCTCACCCCCTCCATGATCCCGCCGTCTATATCCACCCTGTCCCCGTCCATGGCTGGCGATGAGCGGTGCCTCTCGCAGAGGCCGCGCCGATGGGATCCCAGCGGGGCCCTAAACACGGCGAGCCCTCGGCGAAGCAGCCCGGGGCTAGGAGTGCTTGACGGCGGCGGCGCGCCCGGGATGCTGCGGTACCAGCGCTGAGGGCGGGCGGCGGTGCCGGGCAGGCGCAGAGCGGAGGTGCCTCCCTGCCCGCCCGCCGCGGGTTGGTCGGGGCGGCTCCACCGCGGGGAGGAGCAGCCGGCGGGCCCGGCACTCAGGCGGGGGCCGGGAGTAACTCCATTGTCCCCGCGGTACCGACCGCGTCCCGCTGGAGGCAATGCCTTTCCCCTGTCCTGAGGGCCGGAGCGGTAATAACCGCGGCACCTGGGAGATCAGAGCCATGGGTACAGCGCTGCCGCCGGAGGAGAGCGGCCGGACTGCTGCCCTCCTCGTTACAAGGTTCTTTTCCTCAGAATCACAGAATGAATTAGGTTGTAAAAGACCTCTGAGATTATCAAGTCCAGCCTATAAACGAATACCACGACGTCAAACAGACCATGGCACTAAGTACCACGTCCAGTCTTTTCCTTAAACACCTCTAGGGTTGGTATCTCCACCACCTTCCTGGGCAGCCCGTTCCAATGTCTAATCACCGTTTCTGTGAAGAGATTTTTCCTAATGTTCAACGTAAACCTCCCCTGGCGCATTTTAAGACTATGCCCTGTCGCTCGTCACCTGGGAGAAGAGGTCGATCCCCACCTGGTTACAATCACCTGCACGCAGAGCCACAGACATGGGCGTGTTGCTCTGGCAGGCGCGCTCGGGACTTTATTACACGTGTATGGGGAATGGAATGGCCGGGCTTTTCGCGCTGCCCTTTCCGCTCCTGCGGCCCGGGGAAGCCGCGCGCCGTGCACGGCCACTCGCGGCTCTGGCCCGCACGGGAACCCTCTCGCGGTCCCTCCCGTGGGCGTGTGCGGGCCCAGCCCGGCCCGCGGCCCCCGCCGCTGCTGGTTGGCTGTGGCGGCGCGGCCGCCGCCGGTTGGCTGTGCCGGGGGTGTGTGCGGGGCCGTTCTGCCCGGGGTAAGATGGCGGCCGTGACCGCGCTGAGGAGCAGCTGCCGAGCCGCGGGGCGCCTGGTAAGGGGAGCGGGAACCCCGCGGGCGGCGGCGCTCCCGGCCGGCCGGGGGGGAGAGATAACTCGCGGCATCCCCGAGCGCTGTTCCTGCCGTCCGGCGGGCGCACAGCGCGCACCGCGCCTCTGCAAACACGACGCGCTCGCGGAGTTGCCGCCTCGGCGGCGTCCGGGGCCGGGCAGCGCCTCAGCTCCCTCCCCGCTGTGCGCTCCCCCTGCTCCGCGCAGGTGACGGGACCCCGGCATTGCCTGGGACCGCCCCCCGCGCGGCACGGGAACCCCCAGAACTGCACCCTCTTCCCCCGCGCTGCCCTTGCCCATGCTCCCTGGGAAAGAAACGTTTGCCTTTCTGTAATAAGACAGTGACATCCTCCTCTTCTGTTATTTCTAAGTCATCCCATTATTGCTTTGCCTATGCCTTGCTCTGCCATCACCGCTTCTCCGCCCACGCATCAGCTCCCTTTGCATACTGCATCTGCACGGAGACGGTGTGGATACACGTACAAAAAAGGGAAACGTATTTCTTTGAATCCCAGGAGCCTTGATACTTGAAAAGTAGTTGAGATACCTTACCGTAAGAAGTGAATCTACTTGGTTGCCTTTTTGAGATACTTAAAATTTCGTGAACATAGACTTAGTTCATGCTTTCTCGTGTCTTCCTGTATCATAGTCTTTTTGCTATTGTGAAGAGCTTTGGTTTCCTATTATGTCATCCCTATTTTATGGGATGTCAGAGAAGAAATAATTTTTGAAATTTAGAAACAAAATTAAGGATCCATTCCAGTTTCTAGTATGTTTTTTCTCTTAATAATTCATATTGGAATTTTAAAGCATAATGATGAGGAATTTTTAAATGATACTTTTGTAGTCCAGTAACTTATAAGTATTTATAAATAATTTTACTAATTAAGAGCATTAAAAATAGCACTTTCTTTTAAGTTGTATTTCTAACCTTCTACTCTTAATCTTATCTTTCTTCTGATAAGATGAAAACGCTCATCTTATCTATGTGCATGCTGAACTATAGAACTGGCTGGTTTATAGTGTGTGTTTCCTGCAAGCACATTTTGAATCTGTGCCAGGGAGCCTTTGTGTGAAGTGGTAGGGAAATGGCAATCACCTGGACACTGGGACATGTGCCAGGTATTTGGATGAGGGATGATATCTGATTAAAACACATGACCAGGGATGTTGCTTTAGTGTATAGGTAACCATATACTCGGAAATATAGAATATGTATGCAAAACACAGCCAATGTGAGGAAATGTTCTAAAATAACTCAGTGGGACAGAAGTCAAGAAAGTTCAGCATAGCAATATCCTTTAATGCAGAGTCATTGCCTGTGAGCATGAACTGTTCAATTTGACTTGGAAATTTAGTGTTACTCCATCAGGTAATCAGTTCTCTCCAGGCTGCTTAAAACTATTTTGGTCTGAGGCCAGCATACATTTTCAGGTTCAGTGGTAACTTAGACAGCTGGAGTTGACTTGTTTTTAAGGAAACAAGCAAAGCTGAACCTGAGAGGCAAAGCAGCTCCCCGGAGTGCCCTCAGCTGCCCCCTTGGCTGGGGTCAGACCATGCTCTGTCAGCCTGGCTGCTGCGGCCTCAGTGCCAGTGAGGGACCCAGTGGCCCTCAGCTCCTTTTTGCCAGAGTCACTGCACATCCCAGGCTTGCACAGGGAAGGTGTTACCGTGCTGTGGCAGTGTTGCCTTTAAGTTGCTGTTTAGTGTAACAGTAGCCACGTTAACAAGCTTAGTACTACCAGTTATCTTTGGAGTTAACTGATAGATTTTTCCAGACATCAAACTATATAGATGGGTATGCTATGGATATTAGAGCTAATTTTGTCTTTTATGTGCCATTTTTATTTCCTTGCTTGGCATTACACCAGTATTATGGTGATTAAATGCTGAAATTGTAAGCACAGTCTCTTTGTTTTATGGATTTTAATTTTTTCCTTATTTGTAAGGAACACTGCTCTATGAAGAGATTGTGTCCTGTGTTATTACTTTAACATACTAGCACAGCAACTTTTTGGTAGGGAATCTGCAAAACTTAAAATCAGAAAGATTTCAGTTTTAAAAATGCAGTAGTTTTGAATTTTTCCTACAGATATAGTATGAAACAGCATGGTAACTCTTCAATAACAACACCAGTCTCTTTTTTTGGCAGTGACATTACTAATTCACTACCTGCATTGGTAACCAAAGGTTAAAAATCACATGGAAATCATTGTGAAACTTCACATTTAGAAATAGTTCAGAGATTTGATGTGCTCCTTGTGATCATCTTCACAGGTAAATACTGAATGTTTTTCATTTAGGGTCATGTAAAGAGAAAAGAGAGTTTTTGCAAGTTTGTGACAAAAAGATCTAGTTGAAAAATTTTTTGGTAACATTTTAATGTAAACATGTAATCTTCAAGTGGGAAGAAACCCAGAATTAAAGATAGCAGAAAAACAGGATTGTGAAGATGTACATTGTATACCCATTCTGTAATTTAATGTGAACTTTAAATGTATTCCTAGAGTATGTTTTTTCATAGCTTGAAATTGCCATGTTACCTGATTGTTGAATATAGAAAGTTGTTTGGAGGACTAATGAAAAGATTTTCTATTTGCTTGTTATAGGAATTAGAAAAATACTCATTCTAGATCAGTAGGTACCATCTTAGTGGCAGGCAACTGAAAGGTAACTCAAATGATATAACTTTGTTGTGTCCATCATGATAGACTGTGTTGTATAAATGTTTGTTCTTTAAAGAAAGGGGATATTAAATAGAACTTGCAGTGCTGGGTTAAATAATAGAGAGAATGAGTACATTGTCAGTTCAGAATTGTATGGCCTGCTGAATAATGTACTTTTTAAACTCTGAAAAGTGATAGCAAATAGTTAAACAGTTTGGGGTGTGGGGAGGGAAACAAGAAGTTTCATATGCTCTGTAATTACTGAAAGGATTTTTCAAACAAGAAGTTAAAATGAACTTTCCCATGCAGGTATGCTGTTTTCTGGCTCCTCTAAGAAGATAATTTCTAAATTTTACAGTTTTGAGCTACTTGAGGTACATTGTAGCACCTGAATTTTTTTCATATCTCTAAATTAGTTAGAGATAGTATCTACAGATAAATTGTTATTTTTATAAATTATACAGCACTTTTAAGACAACATAACACCAAAATTACATTAAATTTAATAATTTTTACTGGATAAGAATGCGTCTGAACTAACTTGTGTTGAGCTTAATAAAATACCTGTTTATGTCAATGCAAGCACTACCAACTTTGCTTATGATCACAATCGTGACTGATTAGAAGAGACTTTAAAACATAAAGTTTTGTCTGAAGAATCTTTCAGAAAATTCTTTAGACTCTTTAAAGTTGATTTCTAGATAAATATAATTATAACCATAAAAGAAAACCATCTCATGGCTAGTTATTACAAAATATCATTGAAGCTGATTTAAGGTGATGTTTACTTGAAGATGATTGCCTCCTCTATAGGAACAAAAATGAAAGGGCAACTCTCTGGGCCCTGTGGTGTGAATTTCCTTTCATTAGTACTTCTGATCAACCTCTGATGGCACAAATATGCTGGTTTTCTGTGCAGTCTAGGGAAACCTTCCAGCATTCATCCTGGATAGGAGTATTTCAGATACCTGATGTGGTTGATAGTGTGTGTGCTTTTTGTGTGCCTGTCCTGATTAAGCTAATTCCTGAGAGAAACAATAGCAATGAATCACTCACCAAATGCTGTCATGATTTTTGTTAATTGGTTATGTCCCCGTGGCTTTGATCTCCCCATGTGTTGTGTTAGTGAAAGAAGCTAAAACCTGGCGAAGCTTTTGCTAATGTAAAGGTTACTGTATGTTCAAGAATGCATTCAGTGTAATTGTGTTCCATAGAAACTTCTCTTACATAGACTAGAATGAAACTATTTTAGTCTGGCTGTTGGGGGATATTAAATGGGCTCTACCTGCAGTGTATTAACCCTTGAGATTTTCTCCCCAGGTTTGCATTCATCGCGTTAGATCGTGCAGCAGCATTCGCTTTATAAAATCAAAATATGTGTGCGTGTTTGACAAATCTGCCCTCAAGTTTAGTCATCAACAGCGATTATTCAGAACATCTGCTGGTAATCTTTTTCATAATAAAATAATTTCTTTTATTTTGCTATTTTATGAGTGTTATGTTAGAGGTTTGCATATGGCTCATATGTAGATTATTTCTGATGCATTCAGATTTTTCTGTCTGGTAACTTGTATTTAATATTAAAGATGCTGTATTTTCTTATTCTATGTTTCAAGTTTCATGTGGCCAAATTGTCCAGTTTAAGCTTTCTGACATTGGAGAAGGAATTACAGAGGTGACTGTAAAAGAATGGTAAGCTCTGCTTTCCTGGAAATACACTAAGAAGTCAGCAGGTAGTTTAGTAGCTTTAGCTGTGTGATCAATGAATTATCTGAGAATATTTTTTGGGTTACTAGTCAAGTTTTTCAGGTTTCATTTTGCACATTTTGGAACCTTGTACATACTGAGCTTTTTATTTTGTTTGTTTGCAGTCTCATGTATTTGTGAGTGGAAAAATTGGGAGGAAAGGGATGCAACTGTATATAGGCTTTTCTTTAGTGATTGATGTTTTTTGTGTTCAGGTGGCCTGTCTTTTGTTATGTTTACTTAAACTTAGCTTTAGAAACAAATAGCTAGTCTAAAGAATGAACATAATTTTATCCCGTACCCCTCCTCTATTGCTTTTAGTAAAAGATTTGAATTTCTGAATTGTTTGCAAAAAGCCAGTGATGAATGGATTAAACAAAATCAAAGTGTACAGTGAAGGAAGGCAGTGTTGAAAGGCCTTGCTCTTTGTACAAACACCTCTCTTTGCATGAAGACAGTGCTCCCTACTATCCATTTCCTTTCTGAAACTGATTGTATATTGACAAGTTGGAACTAACAACTTCCTTGCATTCAGATTAAACTTAAACATTCTTTTTTTCAATGCTTTATAATCTGACAGGAAAACTCTACTAAAGTAAATGTAATATGTGTGTAGTGATATTCATAATAATTTTGTCATTTCACCCAACAAAGAGTTCTGTGACAAAATGCATGTAGCAAACATATCAAGTATGTAGAATTTGTTTTCTCGTCTGGAATGCACTTCCATGTTGTAGGATGTATATTATTGAACTTACCAAAGGAATACACAGAACAGGTTTTTACACTGACTGTGTTTCCCAGTAGCCTGTCTTTCCTCCCAGGTACATAAAGGAAGGTGACAGTGTGTCTCAGTTTGACAGCATCTGTGAGGTGCAGAGTGACAAAGCCTCTGTTACTATCACCAGTCGCTATGATGGCATCATCAGAAAACTCCATTACAGCATAGATGATATTGCTTTTGTTGGAAAACCACTAGTGGACATTGAAATTGATGCTTCAAAAGGTATTGTAAGCCATTTTTTTCTCATATGGCTTATGAATATTTTATGTTTGTTGTCATAAAACAATCAGTGGCAGAGAAGCTTGCTTTTTCCTCCTGAAAATCTTCAAAGATTTTTTTCCCTATATAAAGTCAGGAAATTTGAGTAGAGAAAGTTGTGATATTTATCAAAGTTTAAATCTCCTAGCCATTTCCTCTTGAATATTTAGCTTTAGCAAGCTGTGTTCCCATCCACATTAACTCAAAGTAAATCGTAAAAAACTCAGCTGTCACAGAATGGTTGAGTTTGGAATTTAACAAATGCTTACAATGTAGTAAAGTTAATTTTTTTCTTTTTGTTTGCAGGTGTTGCCTCAGAAGAAGATGTTGTTGAAACACCTCCTATGTCTCATGAAGAGCACACTCACCAAGAGATAAAAGGTCACAAAACATTAGCAACCCCTGCAGTTCGTCGTCTGGCCATGGAGAACAATGTAGGTTTGCTGAATAAGGTCCTGCTGCATTTTGCCCAGCTTTTACATGGCATTTTGACTGACTAGAAGAGCACTGATCTAGAGGAAACACTTGTTTTCAAATACATTTTACAGTGTGAAAATTGTTGTAGAAATGAAGAGGATTGTGCTTGAAGTATGCAGTCAAATACCTAGTGGGACTAGTGGGACTTTTGGATGATTTGCACTATGTTGAATACCTAATAAACTACAGAAAGGAAAAAAAACCTGCAAATATGTTGGATCAGAAATGGGAATGATTTTTAACCATAGCTCACAACAGAAGATATTTTTATGTTGCTGTAAAACTAAAGTATCACTGCTTGTTATGTACTTTTCAGATTAAATTGAGTGAAGTTGTTGGGACAGGAAAGGATAACAGAATCCTTAAAGAAGATATACTCAACTACTTGGCCAAACAAACAGGAGCTATTTTGCCTCCATCCCCGAAGGCTGAAATTGTCCCACCTCAGCGGAGAGCAGAGGCTGTGCCAGCTGCTCCAAAGGACAAAGCACGCAAAATCCCCGTACCTGCTCCCAGACCCATTGCATTTGCAGGAAAAGATAAAACTGAACCTGTAACAGGTAAATCACGAAAAATAGTCTTGAGGCCATGGTCATGGTAGACTACCAGTAGCTGTTGCTCTGTGAGTAGCTGATTCCTTTTGATGGGAGTGTGTTTCATGTGGTTGTTATGCAAGTGAGCATTTAGGAAAACATTCTCTGTAAGAAGCATTTCTGCTGAAATTATTTTATTAAATATTTGTTCATGTTTTGGTTGGATGGAGTTGGGCTGCAAATTGTACTTGCTCATTCTTCAAGAGTATGTTGAAACAGGTAGGAATTCTAAACATGGATTTGTCATGGTAGGAATCATTATGCAATTAGTGGTGAAGTGCAGTGAATTTAAGTGATTATCAGTGTTTAGTAAAAGCATACTGCACTATTATTGAGTAGCATTCACACCTGTTCTGGAGAACAGTGCCATAAAAGACACTAAGGTAACCAAAAAATCACTTTAAAAGGGGACGATTAAAATTTTTTCCTTGCCTTTCAAGCAGTGTTTATTTGGAGAGGCTGGAAAGCATAATGCAGATTATCATACTATGATTTCAAATTTATACATACATAGGAGAGAGATGCAGTAATATAATTGGGAGTATTACAGTTGTCACAATTGAGTTCTATGAACTCAACAACTCAGAAAGTGCTCTTTATGCTGTTCTTCTTTGGTTATGCTTTGGTTTTGGTTTGGTTTTTGTAAGTTGTGTCATTTGTATAATGGAAACAGATGAAATTTCACCATAACTTCACAGAAGCTCATTTTGTTGGTTTAAGAAGACAATGAATATTTTCCAGGTTTTCAGAAGGCCATGGTAAAGACTATGAGTGCAGCCCTGAAGATCCCCCACTTTGGTTATTCTGATGAGATTGATTTGACTCAGCTTGTTCAGCTGCGAGAAGAGCTGAAACCTCTAGCTGAAATGCGTGGAGTTAAGCTTTCCTTTATGCCTTTCTTCATAAAGGTGAGGCCTGCAGCAGAGCCCTCTTTGGAGTACTTATACACAGGTTTTGCCAAAATCTGTTCAATGACTGTTGTAGATGTATCTCTATCATCTGAGTTATGGCAGATCACAGGAAAACTATTATTGTAATCTTTGTATTGCTAAAGAATCCCTTAGGTCACTGACTTTGTTCCTTCTGTTTTTCAGAAAAGCAGGCAGTTGTGCTCATGTGTAGTGAATGTACAGATTAGTCTGGTTATGCTATAGCACTCAGAGTGCTGCCTAAACACTCATTCCATATTGTTCTTAATCTAAATTTTCTCCTATCATTACTTCTTTTCCGTGAAGCTCTCTGCTTATAAACTATAAAAATCTATTTTGTTTTCTTTTGTTATATTTAACAGGCAGCCTCTCTGGGATTGCTGCAGTATCCCATTCTTAATGCTTCTTTGGATGAGAACTGTCAAAATGTCACATATAAGGTTTGTAAACTATGGATAAATGTTGTGAGCAGAAAGTGAAAAGTAATGTCTAACAGGGACCTTTCAGAATGTCTGAGCTAATTATAAGAACCAAAATTTTGGTGTTGTGCAGGAAAATAATTTGTGCATTCAGTGTCTGAGATCTAGATTTGATTTATTGTTGGCCCTATTGCATTAGTTTGTTAGGTAAAAGTAGCTTTGTTATTCAGACTTGCCTCAAAAATGCATATTAATATATTAATTTTCTATTTTTCACCTGAATATGGGCCAAGCTTTTAAAATGAGGACATTTCAAATATAATACAACAATTTTTGGGGATTTTGTGCACGGTAGTTCAACTGTTCCAACACTCAACCCTACAGTCCTGATCAAAGTTACATAGTTTTATACAAGCTGCTGGATCGATGCTTCTGGGAAGCAAGTATCTATTTTCTTAAATGATACCTAATTGCACCTTGCAGTACAAACTTTTTTTGTGCTGTTTTATAAATATCTTTAAGCATCCTAGTATTCCTTCCAAAACATAAAAAGAGAGTTAGCAAAGTCATCTGTAGTGGAAATGGAACATGGAGTCTCCCTTTGTTGCAGAAAAGCTGCATAGCTCATGATTGAAAAGTTTATGGTGTTTTTAGATGACTATGAACACACCAGATTTCTTTTTTTTCTTCTTTTTAATTTTAGTGTTCTCTTTAAAATATGTTATTTATGTTTTGTTACACATATGATCATTCTAAAGTGCAATGTTTTCAGTGTGAAGTTGATTCCAGGACTTTGTATTCTCTGAAGGTGGCATTGTCAACATCAATTTACAGTTTGCAGATGTGAGGCTAATTTTAAAAAAATTATATCCTTTTCTCCCCTCAAAGTTCTATGCAGGAGTTGCTTACTAAATACAGCACTTTCCAGGTTAAAAAGATAAATAAGGAAAATGTGATTGAAGTGGCTTTTTACCTAAAATACATTTTATGTTGACAGCTTATATTAATGTCTGGTTAATGGCATTTGCTGCAGGCTTCACACAACATTGGAGTTGCAATGGACACAGAGCAAGGTTTAATTGTCCCAAACGTGAAAAATGTTCAAGTCTGCAGTGTGTTTGACATTGCTGTGGAATTAAATCGCCTCCAGTCCTTGGGCTCTGCAGGCCAGCTGGGAACAAGTGACCTCACGGGGGGAACATTCACCCTTTCAAATATTGGCACAGTAAGTACAGGGAAAATGAGAGCTGCTTCTGAAATGCAGCTTTACTGAAGTTTAATATGCCAAGAACAAAATCTGTAGCAATTAATTCAAGAGGCAATCTGCTTAAAAAAAGTTCTTAAATAATAACCTCATTTTTTTTCTTTTCTAGATTGGTGGCACTTATGCCAAACCAGTGATACTACCTCCTGAAGTAGCTATTGGAGCACTTGGAAAGATACAGGTATATTCACTTTATCTCAGTGATGAGAGTGTTAGCTAAGGTCATCTTAACAAAAATGGAACATGGAGCCTGTCTTTGTTGCAGAGAAAATGCATAGCTCATGACTGAAAAGTTTGTGGTGTTTTCAAATGACTATGAACATACCAAATGTTTAATTAGAAGTTTCTTACACCAAAGGTTTGTATTTATTTTCCAGAATCCTGTTTATCACATCTATGTTTAGCCTTCGGGTCAGTAAGAAAAAATGTAAATACAGTTTTGCAAGTTTTGCAACATGGCAATAGCAATTTTGCTATCAGGAAGGAGAAAACTTGAGAAGTATTCTGAAAATGCAGTTCAATTTCATAAGCCAGGTAGCTGAATCCATACAGAATTTTGGATGTGAAGGCAGTTTTATATTTTTTGAATCTCAGGGTTTAATTCTTACATACAGACATTGGAGCTCAGTGCTGGAAATGAAATGAGTATTAACTGAAATTACCTCTATGTTCTTCCTCTGAGCATTTTTTTTAGAGGCGCTTTAAGGAAACTGCCACTTTGAGAACTAACAGTGCAATAAACTATTCAGGAAGAAAACTTTGGAGTCAGGAAAAGCTTTTACTACTTCAGTATTTCCATGAAGGGGGAAAAAGGCTCTGACTGTTCACTATGCAAGCTTGCAATATAATCTAATCCACAACACAAATAGTAATGGAAAGGTCTTGGTTTTTAGCATGGTGCTACTGCTATCTGTCTAATTCAGCAAAATTAATTGTAATTTAGTTCAACAAATTAGCAAAAACAAGAAAAAGCAGATTTGCTAATGAAAGTATTTAATTTAATAATTCTGGTTTTGTCCTTCCTCTGATTTTTAGGTCCTTCCTCGGTTTAATAGCAAAGGTGAAGTAGTTAAAGCACAAATAATGAATGTGAGTTGGTCAGCTGATCACCGCATCATTGATGGAGCTACCATGGCCCGGTTTTCTAACTTGTGGAAATCTTACTTGGAGAACCCTGCTTCAATGCTGATGGACCTTAAATAAAGGAAACCATGGCTAGAAAATGCCTTTAAACTCTGTGGATTAGACTGAATAGTTACACAAGCTGTCTCTGCTAACATGTGCCCTTTACTACGTGCATTATATGATAATGTTATGTGGTTGAAAGTTCTCAACAGCTGATATCAGTCTCAATTAGTTGTTGCTTCTTTCATTTTGTATTGCTGTAATTTCATCTACAGCAGACTGTCAAACTGAATAGGTCACAGCTTCTGAATATGGTGGTGGAATGTCTTTATTTTGCCTTTATAATAATGATTGTCAGGCTGGTGTGACTGAGTGCCACTGCTCTACACCTGCAGTATTTATAATCTGAAGGGAAATTTTGGAGGGGAGTACTCATAGTTCTTCTATTTTGGACACATAAATTTATTTTAACAAATAATATCTGAATTCCTAAAAGGGATTATGCAAAAATCATATACAAATAAAATGCCTTTAATGCTTCTGCTGTAAGATGTCCAGAGAGCTTTTTGTTGTTTAACTGAGTTAACCTTTTAAGTGTTTTGCTAGTCCACTTTTTCTGGCAGTTACTTGCACAGGTACTCTTTATCAAACTATAAATGAAGAGGCCATATTTATTCAAATGCTTACTGACAACACTGATTGATAATGATCAAGGCCTTAATACTCTCTAGAATGTCCTATATTTTTGAAGGCTGAAAGTAGTTTCAGCCCTTAATGCTTTCCAGTTATTTTTGATTCTTATAGAAAATATCTGTCTGTTAAAATGAAATGAGAAAGAAAGAGAAAACAAAATAAAAAAAGAAGGATCTTGTTTTATTATTCTGTCATTAGGTAAGCCTGACAGTAAATTGATCATGATCTTGCATTCTGTTATTGATATTCAGATACTAGAATCTGATAGATTAATCAGATTCAACAAAGAATGGATATTAAAAAATACTATGAGATAAGCACTTCTTCTTAAACTCAGACACGAGGCACATAATGAATAGGTTCAAATTAATGACTTTGGAACAGAAAACTTATGTGGCTTTAAGGTAAAAGAAACAGATCATGATGATTGCACTGCTGATTTAATGGGAGATATGAAGAAAACTGTTGGATATAAATACCTTCTAAACAGATACATTTCACACAGAGACGAGAAAAGATAGTTACGTAGCCTTAAAAATGAATTTGTAACGCACAAAACAGACGTTTTCTCCTTTTTTTAGATATCAAAAACAGGAGCACTCTTCAAAATTATAGACCAAAGTTATCTATTGCATTTAGCTGTGAAGATGTGAGACAGGCTACCAGAGGTAGAATCCCTGCTATCCATGATGCTGAGACTGAATAAGAGAAAAGCTGGTAATGTATGGAGTGTGGCGCATCCATGTAAGGTGCTATTAATATTTCTATTGTGCTATAAGGGTCTTTTATATAAAGGTCATTTCTTGCAAAGTTTGACTGTTATATCATGTTTATCACCCATTTCATTTTTATCAGATTTATTTATTCCTAATAAAAAATGTAAAGCCACAAAATATTGTTTTTATTTGTGAATTTTATGCAGGCAGTCCTGTATGGGTGACTCAAACTCTTTCTTCTTGCCTTAAAGAACATACTGTACTCAAGGCTACCAGAAGAACACAGCCTAATGTCTACTTTTCTACAAATATATTGTTGTGGTAAGGACTTAGTCTGAAGGCTTAGGATATTTTTTAATCTAATGATCACTGAGAAAATAAATTGAGAAGATAGAAGTGTATGAAAGAAAGCAATAAAATTACTTTGAAATACTTAAGACAGAATAATTTTACCTACACAAGGAGAAGATTGAAAGCTAAAGCACTTAGTGTCTTTTTAAGTAGGTAATGGTATTCATGTATTTAGTTGTTTGTGGACTGGAGAGGGTTGAGGTTTTTTATTATAAAGTTCTGTGTAATAGAGTTATAACCAAATTAATGATACTTTTAAAATTTCATCTTCACATTTTATACTCTAGCTCAATTGGTTTGAACTATCCAGTTTTATGGCTTCTGCCTCAAATAGTGACCTTGTAGTTATTATTGTCTCTCCTCCCATTTGATTGAAGTAAAAGATTATGACAGACTTGTTCTCCTTTTATCTTCTGCAAGGGCTATTTGAAGAAATAGAATGTTAAATATTTTTCATGATTGGAACCATGAAAAGGGATGAGTAATAACCCCTCTGCACATCCTGGTAAAGATTACTTTTCTGTCTGGACTTTTAAAATTTGCAGTAAAATTCTTCAGCAAGAGAATTCTTCAGCATTGGCAAAAGTAATGAGTAAAATACTTGGTGATGTAATACCTTTTCTTGTCTGTTTAGTCAATGTGGCTGTTTAATAGCACTTTGAAGCTCAGTTACCTTGCAGAGAAACATTACTGAAATAAACAGTCATTTTTAATTCACTACTAGCCTTTTTTGTTTATGATTGTAATTTTTAATTCAAAACCAACTTATTGTATAGCATAACAATATCCCTTTGTTCTTTGTTCACAATTTCTGTTAATGGAGTCCAATTTAGGGAAGCCCAGTCACACTCAACAAACTGGGAAGGCTTCAACAGTGGTAAATGCTTGGGGGGGTTGCAAAATGCCTCATGTGATGCCTTCTATTCTCAGCATAGGTTAAAATTAGAACTAGACTGACATTGCATTGGAGTCTGAGTGAGAGTTTTAAATGGCTTTGGTAATGCAGACAAGATTCATAATTTGTCTCTGCTCTTGTCCAGAAAGCAATGAGTCTCAGAAAATCCTTGAAAACACCAAATAATTAAGGTGAGTTGTTGTTAAACTCTTTCTGATGCTTGGAGGTGAAGTTGTTGGGAGATCTGATTACTTGGGAGTGAATTTGCAGTTGTTTTACAGCCACCCTTGGGAATTCACTTCTGAATTGTTGGCTGTGATGGCAAGATTATTGTGGTTATTATTTTCTTGATGAATAATATCTAAGAACAAGATCTTTTTGATGGAATCCAGTTACATGATGAAATCATCCTGAAAATAGTCATATACTTAGGTCCTTTGATATTTCATGGTTCTAGGGTAGTATTTGTTGAATGATATGCAAATGAGAGTTGCCCAGGGTAAGCTTTACTAGAAATAAGTATTGGTTTGACTGTACAGTATGATACTGGGTTTGGTAGTACAACTATTAACAAATGTCTCTTTTCTGCACAATTTATATAAAAAGATTTCTAGTTTTCTACCTAAGAGGGCTTGTAGTTCAAAAAATATCTCTTAACAACAAGAAATGATAGATTAGTTAATCACTTGATCTCAATAGAAATTTAATCTTGAAAAAAATCTGGCAATATGAATTGTAACCACTGACTGGAGCAAAAACCTCATGCATACATAGCCTTTCTGTGCATGTTGGGATGGGAACTGGGAAGGGTAGTTACTCTGACCACTGAAAGAGAAGCTGATCCTTCAAACTAGTAAATGTGATCACATTTATGTGGGGGAGGGAATAAATATACAGTCCTCTCTTTACAGGAAAAAATCCAATCCCTCTGTAGGAACCCAAAGGCCAGACTGCACTGCCACACTGGGGTTGCCATTTGTGTCACTTGTCAAATCCTGCCATTTTTCCTTAACAAGCAAAGAACACATAAGAATCATAAATATTAGTGTATTAGACCAGATTCTTCTTTATGCAAGCTTTATGATTTGATTTTGTGCTGTCTTTACAACAGGAAGCAATCCTGACATTTTACATTTTATTTGCCTACACATTTTAACTTAATTTTGGACTTTACAAATAAGTATGTTAGCAGAGGACATGTAAACATAAAATAGAATGATTGCCAGTTTGAGCACAAAAATGGTCACCAAGCAATTGTGGTTTATCCAGGCTACACAAAATTATAACAGAAATAGATATGAAAGAAAAGATTGGTTCTAAAAGACAGACCTGCAGCTATTATAGGGAAATATATGTATGAAAAGACATGAAATTCCTCTTTTGTTGTTACCTACCTGCTTGTTTGGAAGAAACTTATCCTTACTTTTTTAGTTTAAAGCATATATAGGACATTTCTCTTACTTGCCACTACAAGTATCAGTAAAAAGTTAGAAAGGGAGCATTCAGATCATCAGTGTTCAGAGTACACTGCTGCTGGTATGAAGTTTAGCCCTGCAAGCTTATCTGAATATCAGTATCTTGGCTCCAGTAATGGCAATAAGAATGGTTTTTAGAGGGATGCAGTGATTGGAATGAGTGAGAATCCTATTTTGCTGCTCTTCAGGACAATATGTATTAATTATCTCACAAAGGATACATAATTTCAATACTTTAGAGTGCATTTCATTTTAAATGGGAATTCTGACACTTAGGGATACACAAACATTCAAAGAGAAATCAGAAGGATTTAAATGCATTTTCCTAAAGGTGATGCATTACTAACTATAAAATGCATTGTACTGAGTTAAGCTATGAAGAAAATGAATGGAAATAAAGTATACTAATTAATTTCCAGGAACAGTTCAGTTTCTGTAAAGAGCAAAACACCTTCAGTGACAAGTATCTATATCAGGTGGATGTCAGGATGCAGCTATCAGAATTGAACTGCCTTAGATTGCAGGTAACAGTTTAATGTCTTCCTGGCATGGGAATGAATGCTCAAATCTGCATTTAATAATTATGGTCAACACTTAGCCTTCCATTGAAGGAATGAGAGAAGCAGTGTTCACTGAATAAGAATGCAGAGATTGCAAAAAATACCATTTCTTATTATAATAAAATGTGATTGGTGCAATTATCTGGTTTTATACAGAGAAAGCAGTTGATAAAATCCTGCCAGTTCTTTATATTAACTCATTTGATAACATAATGAAGTGGGTATTGCACTATTTTAGTTTTCATGTCACTGTCCCCATCTGGTAACCCATAGCTGAAGTGGTGCATTGAGCCTGAAATTCAGTCAGATTCCTGCAAGCAAATCTGAGCATGTAAAGGATCATGGCTGAAACTGCAGTTTGCCTGGGAACATTCTCTGCTGTGAAGACGCTCTGGGAAGTGAGAATACACAAGATAAATGAAGAATTACAGAGAGAAAAGGAGTTCAGGCAGAGGTCTGCGGGAAGGTAGGTACATTGTAACTCTTCAAGTATGTGAAAAGCCAGACCTTATGTTACATTTCAGATGACTGCAATTGGTTTCTTCAAACTCATGCAGACTCTAATTCCTTAGTTGTTACTCCAGCAGGATTCCCAGTGATTAGAATTTATCTAGTGTCTGTGATAAAAATATTAATATACAGATTAAATCCCCTGAACTCAGATGCTAAAATCCTCTGCTCTGTAAATATTCTAACCAGTGAAGATTTGTTATGCTTTCTTCTCCATTGAGGTATTAACGGGGTTGCTTGGTCTTCTGTTTGGCCAGCAATTCTATGAGATTTAGGATACTATTTTTGGTACTCCTAATTTATCAGATGTGTTTGAAGTGGAACAACAAATTCAAAAGTTATTCAGGGAGAATACAAGCAGAAAGACAGAGAATGACCTTATCATAACTCTTGTGTAGGTACTCTTTGGAAATCAAGCTAAAAGAAACTGATTGACCTATTTTCTTGCACTTATATGTGATGGACTGGAAGGCTTTCATTTTAGGAGTCTGCTTCAAAATGTGCTTTAGAACTTAATTCCACATGACTTTATATTCTGTGGCCCTGCTGCAACGTGTTGAAAGTGAATTATGTCCTCCTTCTGAATGTAAATTTAAAGAACTGTAAAATAGAATTCCTATAAATTACCTTAGCCAAACATTTAGGGCTTTTTTTCCCTCCAACTGATAGTATATTAACATCCAGATAAAATTAATGCTATTTGACAATAAGGTGCTTGTGTCTTTTTCCAGAAAATAGATAGGACAGGAATTATTGGCTGTATTCATTGTGGCACCACTGGCAGATCTTTTTTCCCTTGTAGGCTACTGCTTGTCTGGGAGGAGAGAGCTGCTTTAGCAAAGCTCAAAGAAAAAGTTATTAATGAAGGTGGAAGAGCAATTTTAAGGATAGAGGAGGAAGAATGGAAGGTAGGGTTGATAGGAATGAATGCTGCTTGTGTTGAATGACTCATGCATTAGAAGACTACTGTTTACAACTTTACACTTACAGTGGTACTATTTGTGTTCTATTAACTGCTCACTGTGCTTTGCTAACAGTGAATTGGGACACACTGTTGTGAGTGTAAAAGCAAGCTGGGGGTTCTTAGTCCTGAATGTTAAGCATTACTCTGCAAAAACAAAGCCCAAAAGATTTTTCTGTATTAGAAATTATTTTCACTGCAGAGTATGATTTTCATTATGTAAATTCTCATTTAACATTCACACACCAGAACTACTGAAATGTATCAAGATGAAAACCCTCTGTGTTTGGGTGCATGAAGATATTTCTTACTGTTTGTTTTCTCTTTCTAAGAGTGAAAATGAGCCAGTAGATTCCCAGAACACTATAACTGGTGTTTCTCGTGTGCAGAGCTAATCTGCTGTTAATGCTGGCAGAGTGAAGGCCATCCACGCTCTGAGCCATGCAGAAATGCACTGACCAGCTCCCAGAAAGTCATGAGAATTAGTTTGTGTTGAGACCAGTGAGAACATGACAGCCAGACCCAGCCCTCTGTGCAAAAATCTATTTAGGGCAGTTTCATCTTCAGTTATATTGAATTAAAAAAATTTTAAAAAAGAAAAAGAAACAAACAAAAACAAGCCTGAAACTTGTCAATGACAGTGCAGGTATGTAAATCCTGAGAGCCAAGAGAGGGCAGGTTCCATCTGTGATCAGAATGACAACCCACACTGGTGTTCACTTGGGGATCATGGAATCATGGGATATGCTGAGTCCATTGAGTCAAACTCCTGGCTATGCACAGCACCATCTCCAAGAGTTACACCCTGTGCCTGAGAGCATTGTCCAAACCCTTCTTGAACTCTGTCAGGCTTGGTGCTGTGCCCACTGCCCTGGAGAGCCTGTTCCACTGCCCAACCACCCCCTGGGAGAAGAACCCTTTCCTAATATATTGATGTAAACCTTTATAAAATGTAAACCTTTTCCTAAGATGTATGTTAGTAAAATCGTATCAGTTATGCTTGCTATTTCTAGCATATTTTAGTTATCACCATTCATTTTGTAACCTACATATTACAGTATAGCTTAAAAAAAAGTACAGGCTTTTAGTGTTTCAAATAAAACTTCTGCCTCAAGCTTGTATTCTAAGCTGAATTTCTTCTGGTTTGTATTTCTTGTTGTAGACATTACCTTCATGCTTATTGAAACTAATCCATCTCCAGGAATGGCAGCTTCACAGAACTAGTTTGCAGAAAATTCCTCAGTTTATTGGAAGATTTCACAGCCTTGTTGTTCTGGATCTATCCCGGAACTCAATTGAAAGTGTACCTAAAGAAATTGGTGAGCTGTGCTTTTATTTTCAGCTGCTTTTCCAAGAAAATTGGTCTCACACAAATGTACCATTTTTGTGCCCTTTGCTTGTCTAATAATCCTATTGGGTAGTACAAAAACAGATTATTTAAATCTGAGTGAGATAGAGATCTCCAAACCATAAATTCCCTATAAACTAAAAATGGGGCTTGGATGGAAGAGACATATCACTATGAAAGCTCCCCATGACAAAAAAAAGGACCTGTTTGCAGAGCAGGGACTAGACATCAGAATGCAGCAAAGTGATACTGAAAAACAGACTGCATGGTCTGAGTCCATGGCAGGAGTGGCCTAGGCACAATTTTTTGGTTTTGGGTTTTTCCTTGAAGCACTCCACTACATTGCAGTCCTGTACTAAAGAGTCCTGAGGTGCTGCTATTTGCAGTTTGGTGATTTTTTTTTTGTTTGGTTTCGTGAGAACACAGAGAATTTTTATAACAGTAAAAGGATAAGGCAAAACAAATAACAGTGCTTCAAATAGAATAAAGATTAACATTTCTCATTTGTGCTCTCTGCAGGCCAGCTGACCAGCCTCCAAGAGCTGCTTCTCAGTTACAACAGAATAAAATCCATTCCTAAGGAAATATGTAACTGCATCAGTCTGGAAAGATTGGAACTGGCTGTCAACAGAAGTATCTGTGATCTTCCTCCTCAGGTTTTGACAGACTGTTTAGTTTTGTTTCACGCATATTTTTGATTTATCCAAAGCCAATTATCATTACATGTTGCATTTCTGTTTTCAGACTTGCTGTGAAGCTGTGATTTCACAGTACTCCACACTGATGTGAACAATATTTCCATGACTGGTCAAAGTGAAGCCACATGAGAAGCACATACACACACCTGAGGAGCTGAAGGAGCCAGTCTTTATTTTGGCCAGATAAATGACTTGGCAGTGCACTGGGGGCAGTGACACACTCCATATCAATTTGTTTAGGCTGGATATTGTCACTTATTCACCCCACTAAGAATCTGATGCCTTAGCACAGAGAAGTTCTCTTTTATGGTTTAGACTACAAATTCATAGCTCATGCCAGGAGACAGCTGTAAGCATTTTTGCCAGAACAGCTAGATCTGAAAAGAGGTTGTGTGATTTATACAACTGCCTGTGCAGAGGTGAACAATTGTTCTCAAATGTTGAAAACAAGTATGAGAGAATACTCACCTACTATTGAACTTTAATATGAACAGACCAAAATGTGAGACCTGCATCTGTAACTATTAGTCTCTTAGATAGAGATGACAAGTATGTAACCATATTTACTTGTTTTAATTTACTTTAAAAAAAAAGTCATGGCAATAGTTGACAGCAATCAGTGCCTTGCAATATTGAGTGAGTCCAAATAGCAATAGCATAGAATCTTCAAATGGAAATATCCACTATTAACCAAAATCCAGAATTTACAAAACCTACGTGGATACAGGTTGCAGGGTGTAATGTAGAAAATCCATAGTTCTGTCTGATGGAGACTGCAGTGATGTGAACACTGGGAAGCTTTGGTTATGTACACTTGAGTGGCATTCAGTGTTGAGGCAATTGTACCAGATCTGCTAGAAAACATCTTTGTAACCACTTGAACATTTCAAAAGCACCTGAAGGCATCATTCACCAAAGGACTTGGGTGCTGTGATACTATGTTGCATTTTTAGAATGTCTTGCCAGAGTAGTGGACTTCACAGCATGGAAGGTGTCATGGTTCACTCTACAATATAGTCCATGCAATTTGATACATAAAAATCTAAATATTTGACTAATGAAAAATGGCATATTGCACGGAGTATGAAATTCTAAGGACAGTGCTGTCTTTAACATTCTTTTTCTTGAGGCTTGGGGCATATCTGCATTGTAGTCAACAGTTATGGCACTCACTACTGGGTGGGAGATAAAGTTCTGCTGCCTTATCAGTTCCCAACCTATCTACCTTCCAGGCAAAACTGTTATTGTCAGGTACTATCAGCTATTGGAACTCAAAACCATTCTGTGTTTACTGGCTCCAAAATGTTTTGTAATGTTTCTTAGATTACTGCTGTACTGCTGTAGCAGCTACACAAAGTTGCATTACATCTCCCCTTCTTTTCAGCTCAGTGATTTAAAGAAGCTGTCACACATAGATTTGTGCATGAATCAGTTTACTGCCATCCCCTCAGCTCTCCTCAACATGCCAAATCTAGAATGGTTAGATATGGGGGGAAACAGACTCCAGGAGCTTCCTGCTGCAATTGACAGGTAAATACAGCTCAAAGCTCATCTTAGTTCTCAATTCCACTGCATTGAAATTCTAATTAATAAACACTACTTCTAAAGAGAATTTTTTTGTTAACCTCACTCCAAAGTCAAGATTTTATCAGCCCTAATGTGATGTTTGGATAAGCTGGAATAATCCATTCAATTAACAATAAATTCAGTATCAACTATAACATTAAATATGTATTGTCAATTACATTTTTGAACAGAGGTGATTGTCTTGGATATGGGGTTTCCTTTGAGACTTGTTGCACTATGAGTCCTTTATGTGGCTGAAAAATTAATTTTATAGTAATGACTGAGAGGAATAATTCTATGAATCTTGATTTATTGCACAAATACCTATTTTTCAGAATGGAAAACCTCCACACCTTATGGCTCCAAAGGAATGAAATAAACTCTTTGCCAGAAACCATTGCTAATATGAAAAACCTTAGTACTCTTGTTCTTAGCAACAACAAACTTAAGCATATTCCAGCTTGTATGAAGGACATGACAAATCTGAGGTAAGAAAAAGCACCAGTAATATACCTGAAAATAACTAGAAAATACTTTTTAAAGTCCTCCTTGAGTTGCAGATCACAGAGTGATACTAAGGGAGAGGAAAAGGCATTTCACAGTTGTACAGATGGATACAATAAATCAGCATAATTACACATATTCATAACAATTAAGGATCTGGTGAAGTAAGCTTTGTGTAGTGAAACTTTGTTAAAGATATAAATTATGATAGTTACAGTCTCACATGGAAGGTAGACTATAAAACATTTTCTCATTTCATAGCCCTCCCACTATAACTGCCCTTTGATACCACTCTCTAAAAGCAAGAGCTTGCAGAAAAATGTGGCAGGCATTAAAATGACAAAAAGTAGAATTTTGCCATTGAGAATTCAAGCATTCGGAATTAAACAACATTTATTAGGTTTAAGGACATGGATGAAACTGTCATGTGCTTGATATGAAACATAAAAAATAATGTAAATTCTTAATTGGTGGAATTTGAACTACTCCTTAGTGTACTGTGACAGAAACCTCCCTGTTGTTAGCATTTTCATTTGGATTATTGGATGCTGGCTGTTTTAGAGAAAGAATGCTGGTCTGCATAAATCATGCCTAACTCAGGAAGACAATTCCTGTCCTCAGCTCTTTTGGAAGAACATCCTTAACTAAATATATACAAGCATAGGCCCAAAGATGAACAAGAATAAAGAGAGACAGGACTGGCTCCTGCCTTGCAAAGCTGGGAGGAGCCACTTGCACTGTTCTCATTCACTCACCTGTTTGTGAAAGCTCAATACATCTGACAGTGGGCTCAGAAACTGAAGACAAAATGATGAGGAACACAGTGTTTTTTCCCACCACAATCAGTTACTGTTATAAAGCGTCTTCTTAGCTCACTTAATACTACTGATAGAATGGTGAGTTTAGTATAACAAGAACTTCATTTCCTTTTGCTTAAAATAGTGTTTGAGAAATCTTAATTCAATTTCAAAAGAATTATTTTCTCTGGACAAAACTTACTGCAAGATTAACCTTTTCTGGTGAATTCCTAGATTTGTCAACTTCAGAGACAACCCACTGGAGCTACAGGTAACACTCCCTCCGTGTGAGAACACAGACGAGGAGGAACAACAGGAAATGTTTGGCATTGACTTCATGCACATGTATATCCAGGAATCACTCAAGAGTACAGGTATGGCTTTTTTATTAATTCTGATCTCTCCACAGCACAGTGATGAAGAGAGGGATAAACTGGATAAATAAAATGTAGGATATGTATAAAAATGAAACATGAATAACCTTCTTAATAAATGAGTAATGTTTTCCAAAAAAAAATCTGTAAACAGGCTTTTACTGAGAACAGGGGCACTTTTAACAGGAGTTGGCACTGTAGATCTCCAACAAACAGCACAAATTCTGGTAGGAACATGCTGGAACCATGGAGCACTGTAATAAACGTGCCTGAGTTACCTGCACCATGGATAAAGAGAAGCTGATGACTGTCTTTCATATTTGCAATTTAATCAGTTTACATAGTGAAGGTCTTCCAGCATCCTTTAACTCATGAAGCTCAACTGTTCCTATTTTTGGATGTTGTCCAGATGGTACTTCTAGAGGAAGATTAAGAAGTGTCTATGTTCCCAAGGTACATCTTTTAGCAATGAACTATCAACACCTGATGAACAGATGTTTCTCACAACTTGCTTTCCCTGACACAAAATACAGTCACTTAAACAAACACGCCCAGTTTCATCCCATTTCTAAAACATGACAGAAATTTGCTGTTCATTGTCTCTGGGGTTACAGCCTTAATGCTGCAGTAAGAGACCCAAATAAGCACTTTGGAACAGATATTCAGTTGGCAGCTGTTACTTGCAGCAAGCACTTCACTGCAGATATAAAATGATCTCTCTGATCTTCATTCTGTGTTTTATGAAGGCTTAAAAAAATGAATGTAATGCTCTTGTTTTAGAACACTAAGCCAGTTTTTTTCTTATCAATATTTCATGAACGGATTATCAAATTAGCAAAAATATCCCAAGATGACACTTTAGACATAAGTTTTCTTTCTGAATAGATTCTCTAGCAGCACAGGCTGATCAAAGTACTTAGGCCTACTTAAATATTTTAAGAGGAAATACAAAGCTATTCTGAACTTCAAAGTGAGAATAAAGTATGTCAACTTATTTTATTCTGTTGTCTTTTAGGAAATGTGGAAAGTTTTACTTCTGGTTCTCCTCCTGTCATGAATCCTAATGAATAAAGAATGTAACTGTGAATGGAAGAAAATATCAAATACACTTCTTCACAGCAAAGAGGCTACAACAGGTTTCAAATATTCTTAGGGATTTTATTTTTCCATTGATGAGAATTGGTTTGCATATTTGTAATTCCCAGTGAAACTGGAAAATATAAGACCTTTTCTTGGGTACAGGAAAAATGATAAAGGTTTTTTTTTGTAAGAAATGAAGTAGTTTTTATAAAAACCCAGATGAGTTTTATAGGGTTTGTTTTTTTCCCCACCAATTCCAAATCTATCTCCTGTTATTTAGTTGGCTCTGGTATCACAGAAGGCTTTGGGACAGCTGTCAACAGGACATTCTCCAAGGACACAGCAGACTCTGTGTAATACTGCAGTGCAGCCTTGTATCCTTGCTGTTGTAAATACTCAATCCGCCCGTGATCAATCAGCCGTTTGCAGAGGCAGCCCAGCTCCTTCCTCTCCTCAACACTCAGCATCCTGTTCCACATAAAGGAGGGAAGGAAAGAGTTTTGGTAATTAGCATTTGTAGTTAAGCTTAGAAAAACTACTGAAATCATTGTAAGTTCATTTCAGTCAGGTAAGCGTGACTGTTGAAATATTTTGAAATGTATGTCCATGAAAATAATATTTTTAAAGTAAAATATGTCTATTAGTTTAAGTATTAAATGTTTCTGCAAAATTAGTCCTTTTGAGGACACAAAACAATTTAATATGCCGCTATACATAGCTTTTCTGCTGGAGTCCATTTGCTAGGAAAAAAACATACATACCCTTGTAAAGTGTCAGAACCACTTGCTGTCCTGCTGAGTGTGTGCTCATGTTCTTCTGTGTCATTAGTTTGGTCTTCACTTGTAGAAGCTTTGCCTGTGGTTTCTTGCATGCCACAAGTGGCCCAACTACTCATTCTCTGAAAATAATGGAATTCTACTGGTCCCAGTCCTACTGATTTAAAGAACTCTCTGCCTACATAATGTGTCCAGTCACACTTGTGATGGCAACACAGAGCAATAACAATTCCAGCTACAGGCTTATGGTCTTCTGTGGTGCTTTCATTACCAGCTGATTTGTGAGGAGCCACCTCTGTCTGAGCAGCCCTGCAGCGTTTTGGTGCAGGCTCTTCATCTTTCCCATCACAGCAAGTGGTGTAACTTTCAACCAAGCATCTCAAAGCAAGATCTGGGAATGAACAAATACATCCCCCCCAACAAAAATATCCATAACTACCATGCCATTATTTATACAGGCTGTATCATGGTTGGGAATGTGCTTCCCACAAAGAAAAATAAAATTACACATCACAAACTAAGCCAAAAAGCAAGTTCAATGATAACTAAAAATTACAAACATGCTTTGAAAACAGGAAAACCCTAAATGTGGTTTCTCTGGAGCTTCTAAGAGCTTATCCTGTGAAATATTTGTTCTGCAAAAGTGAATTTAAAATAGTTTGGTTTAAAAATTGGCATATTGTAGGAGAATCTCCTCCCTGTAAAACACATGAGTATTTGCTCTGAAAGTTTGATATCTAGGACACAGTCTATTAAATATGCACATGTACTTCTTAAATGCTTAACTGTGCCATCTTTGTCACACTACCCATAAAGGTGTCATATTTGAGATGTCTTTCTCTACACAGTAGCCATATAACATTAGAAAAACTGCATTAGGTTAAAGTTGTCACGAGAGAAACACAATCTCATTTGTGTTTGGGATACATATTCAGACAGCCAATAAAATTTTAGAACGAAAATTGTCTCAAAGAAGAGACAACTGTGCTAAAAAAAGTACTCTCAAACACATGCCACCACACACTGTTCTCTGTTCTAATCTATTAAAGGCAAGAAGGGCTGCACTTCTGCCTAAAGTATCCTTACATCTATTGTCCTTTTACTATTCCACTGGAGTCAAGAGATATTTAGAATATAATTACTATGTTCACCAGAAAAGGTTTAGAGGGCAAGAACAGCTTAAAAGGACAATTTGGAAGATCAGCGTAGTCAGAGTGTAAGGTTTATATCCTGACTTTCTGCAGTTCACACATCTGTAATTCATACCTGTTGCAGCACCACACAAATGCTTCCCAATTCCTACCACTGGTAGTTTTTTCTTCTCCAAAATAGGTACCTTATCTGGAGGGGAAAAAAAAAACAACCAACAAACCCCCATCCAATCCACAACTACCCCAGCACCTCTGTTTTTTCTGAATAGTATAACTTCAGCACACTTAGAAATCAATGTTTGCCACTACTAAACTACATTGATTGGCACATTTTGTTAAGACAAATTAAAAGAGTAGGATGCAGTGGCTGGGAAGCACATTTAACCATTTCAGCCTTTCTCTACTGCCTATGAAAGGTAAATATGACATTAATGCATCTCCTGCTGACAGGTGCTCCCACAAATTCTGTAGCATTGATAGTGCATCACTTGCTTAATTCTACACATAAAACAAACAATGCAAACGTGTTGAATTCTGCAAGTGCTAAAAAACCTTCAAAATGTATTTGTGTTGGTACTTTCTCACCTATAATGATGTTCCTATGAGTGTATAAAAAGTAGAAAACTTTAAAACTCCATTTAAAATATATGTCTATGTGTATTTATGTATATTCACACATGCCTGTGTGTATATATGTGTATACATAGATACAGCATCAATATGTCCAAGCAACCACTGAGAATAATCTTCAGAACCAATATTTAAGCATGTTACAAACTGACTGGAACCCCAATTCAAAATTTAAAAATAAGCCTCTACTTCAGAATGACACAGGCCAAGAAAGAACTTACTTAAACATAAGTGCTGAATGTCTACTTGAAGCCTCTCAAATACAGAATCTCTCCTTTTGTGTTTTCCATCCACCTGTTTAAAGAGAACAAGAGATTGCATAGGGCTGGCCACTAATAACTATAATTTTGCTCCAGGTATTAATGTCAGACTTTTTTTTTGTCAAGTCAACATTTGAATTTCCAACATTAAACATCAGGATTTTTTTCTGATAAATTTGCTATTTGTGAAGTATGGAATGTATAACTTGTAAAATTTAAATGTACTGAGGATAAAAAAATGAATACTAACAGCTTCAATGGCAATGGTTTAAAAATTATACTTTACTAATGTAACAATATCCTCTTACCTTGAATCTTGTGGTTGCCTTTTCCACAAGCAAAAACTGAACACTTTCAACCTTCTCTAAGGCAATATCAACCCAATGAGACAGCTTTCCTCTCCCAGCTCCAAACTCAACAAAACACCTTCCTGGACCAAGTAAATGCAATCTTTCCATGTTACCTAAAATAGAAGCCTACAAACATCAAAAGATTATTTGTGAAACAAGAAAATAAATACCCTGTGTTTTGTAATGCCTTATAGAAAAATTATTCCTTCACCAAACTGGAGAAGACTTTCTAAGCCTTGCTTTCAGTGAGGGATTAGGGAAAAGATGATGTGTGTACAGAGGAAAGGGATTATATCTTCTGTTTTACTGTATCACATTTCCTCTGTGGGAAGCAGCTGGAATTATGCACCCAGTCACTCAAATTTACAGCAGCACAACTCCATGTCCAAACTCTTCCACAGTTATTAGTAAATCAGACCAAACCTGTTGTTTCAGGTGTTTGAAAGCAGATTCCCCATTCTTTGGGTCACTTAAGGCTTCTTGTAAAGCCTGGTGGGACAGTATTTGTTCCTCAAGATGGAGTTCCAGGCCTGGAGGCAAATGCAAAACTTGTAACACCCATGATTACAATTGTGACATGAGCTCAGTTTGTAGCACTAACAAAACACTCTGCCGGGAGTGTAAAGCTATCATCATATGTTCATAACAGAGCTGTATTGTTATCTGTAGTGGTATGTGAGTGACAAAAAAAAAAAAGAAAAACAAAAGGAAGGGAACACAGGATTGGAGTTTTATCATTCTTTTAATCTAGTTTACTTTTTGCAGTAAAATTTAGCTATTAGAGGTCTGCCTGATAATAATTTCAGATGTGTTTTATGGCACCTATCTCATATTTTTGCAGGTATCTAACAACAAAAATAACAATGAAATATTTAATCAATTAAATTTAAAATATCTTATATTTAGTATTTATTATTAAACTCACCATTACTTGCTTTTTTCAACCTGGTAATTAAATTCTGCAGCTCTTCGATAGATAGAGAAGATAGAGGAACCTTTTTAGGGACAAAAAGTGACACCAATAAATATCAGACCTAGGAAATTTTCTGTATCTTTGTAGTCATAAATTGCAACATGTAATGTAAGGACTGAACCTAAAACCAAATAATGTACTCACTTGTTTTTCTGGTATTTCTGCTACATCTTTTAAACCAGCATTAATATCTTGAACAAAGTAGACCTTAAAAAAATAAAAAAAGAGAAGAAAATAAATTTGATTCAGGTAATTACCAGGAAGCAAATGGCTAAATTCTTCAGTGTTCTTATGGTAAGGTATGTAGTAATAGGAATCCACTGCAAAGTAAGATTTTCCAAGTAATTTTCCTTCCTATAGTCTGATCCTGACACCCAGCAAGAAATGACTATTCTGACACAGTTTTACAAGACTGAACATGCTCATAGGAGTTAAGCAATCAGGGCTTACTAGACAGATTCCAGAGACCATTTTCAGGTTTCCCAGGGAATACTAAAGGTGCAATTCTAAAAAGGCAGCAAGGCAGGCAATAAAGAAGCCATCCTCTGCTTTCTTGAAAGAGCATTTTAAACACATGTGCTGTGGCTTCCCTCAGCAGCTGCCAGCCAAGCTCTCCGTGGCTCCCTGCCAGCCTGGCTGGAGTGGGCAGCTGGCTGGGATACCCAGAGCTTCTCTGCAGGTTCTGCTCTCCCAGGACAGCCTCTCCCCCAGCCTCTGAAATGAATGGCACTGGGAGAGCCTCTTCCCTGTGTATATTTCTGAGAAAAACGAATTCAACATTTTTATTTGTAACCAAGAACTGAAAAACTGTACCAAATTACAGTGAGAAGGGGCAGAGAATATCAGGGGACTGGAATGTGAGTTGCATTTCAGCAAGTACTTCTAGAACTTCCATCCTGCCTCACAGCAGTGCTTTGCTAGACCTGCTGCCCCGCAGCTCACAGCTGCTGTCAGCACAGAAAATTCTCTGCAGGGCTGGAATGTTTAAGGTCTTAAATCCGAGAGGAAGTGCTGAAATTGCACTGCACTTACAGGCTTTGGCTTCTCTCTTGAGTTACATTTTTTCAAGTGCTTTTGTAGTTGGTCTTCATATACAGTGCTAAAAAGCCAAATGGAGAGAAAAGTAAGCATCGTGTGAATACTGACAAAGAACGAGAAAAGCATTTACATATACTCACTGTTTTGGATCAAGAGGGCACGGAATTCTTTTTCTGTCATTTTGTTCCTAGTTAGAAAAGTTTTAGAAAACACTTCAGCATGCATTCAGTTTTGTGTTTTAAAGAAGCTTGAGGGGCATCAGCTTCATAAAACATCTATTCAGAATAAGTGAGTTAACCGGAACGGAGAAACGGAGACGAGAACTTAATACTTGACTGGATCCTAAACGAATAAACTTTTAATGCAAGGTGAGGGCTACTGCTGGGCTAGGGCGAGTGCCCGGCACACCGAGGCTCAAGGGAGGCACCGGCGCTGCCTCTCCAGCCGTGCCACGAGAGCGGGGCCACCCCGAGCCCGCCCGCCCTCCCAGCCCGAGGGGTCCCTGCACCTCCTCGTGCCCGTGCTCGCCGCAGAAGCGCCTGCCGGGCGCGGGGATCATCCTGCAGAAGCGCTTCTTCCTCAGCACGAAGTGAGCGCAACGCCCGGGCTGCGGCTGCGGCTCCGGCGCCGCCATCACCATCGCCGCTCCCGGCGGCCCCCGCGCCGCCATCTTGAGGCCCCTCCCCGCGGGCGGGAGCAAGATGGCGGCGGAGCGGATCTTCGACCGGGCGGTGTCGGTGCGAGTGCGGGGCTGTGGCTGCGAGGAGCGGTGAGTGCGGTCCGGCTGTGCGGGAGCTTCTTTGTGCTCCTCAGAGGGGCTGCGAGCCATAGGCGCTTTCCTCCTGCCTGCTCTCAGCGCCGCTGGGCAGCGCTCTGCGGTGCTGCGCTTCAGGGTTGCTGCGGGCACCCGCGCGGTGAGGGAGGGACCTGTCTGGTGAGGCCTGGGGCAGCCGGTGAGGGCCGGGCGGTCGCCGTGGGTGCCTCGCCAAGGGAGCGAAGCCGGCGGGGCGCTGGCAGCGGAGCGAGCTCGCCGTGGCTCGGCGGAAGCGCCGCTGTGCCCGGGGCTGAGGCGACCCGAGGGCCGGGGCCGTTGGCGTCTCCCGGGCCTCGGCGCTGGCCGCGGGCGCTCCCGCCTCTCCCCCGCCGTACCCGCCGCTCCGCGGCCTCCTGAGGCGCGGCTCCTCCTCAGCGCCCCGCGGCCCAGGGAACCGCGGGTTGAGCCACCTGTGCGAGGCGGTGGTGCCTGGGAAAGCCCAGATATTCCGTGTGTGAAGCGCCCCTTCAAAATAGATGAATTTCGGCACTGTGGGTCCTGTCGGGGTTAGGCAGCGTAAGAAGGCACGGAAAGACTGATGTCTGTGGTGTGCGTGGTAATATAAGTGACTTAGTACCGGATAAGAAATCACTTAAGACAAGGTAGCACTGGATAAATGATTATCAGGAGTTTGAGTAATCGTTAATAAATTTCAACAGGCTTTTACAAAAGTTCTAGTTTCTGGACAGTTTCAAAATTTCTGCCTTGCCATTTAAAGTCTGGTGGATAACAAGAAAGCAGCAAAAATCCAGCTCTGACTGAAGAGCTGCAGTGACTGAAACTCTTATATTTTAAGTGTAGTCATCGGTGGAAGCTTTCTTAATGTTTCTGCCTAAATTTTTATTTTTGAGATGTCATTGATTCCTTTAATGCGGCTGTGAACACATCTTATTTGGAGAATGTTTTCTTGATTTATTACTGAGTTTCATCTTTTTGTACACAGGAGATTAAATGTTCGAGTGAATATTGAACTACTGTCAATTTCTAATCCTGTTCATAAAAAGGTTTGTAAATTAATCATATTTCTCTAATTAAATAGGTATTATCTGAATTTCATTTTATGGAAGTAGAAAAAGGAAAATCAAAGTGGAATTTTAGTGTTTGCCGTTTGACCTTAGTTTATTTTTTATACAATTTTTTGAGTAACTTAGTTGGTTTGGTATTGTGGTTTTCCATTCTTTCCCCCCATTCCTCCAGCCTTTTTTAGCCCTCTATTTTAGTTTGGCTATTGATGGATCTTAGCAAGTTTGCATATGTAGAGTATTTGGAGATGCTCAGGGGAACATGAGTTAGAGCTTAGGAGTACCTTTAGTTCAAGGTTCTAAATTGGGAGTAAAAAAATAATCTTTCTCAGGGAAAATCACAATGAGTTCTCACTGCTGCAGACTTTGTCATCTCTTCTTTGTTATCCCCCCAGCATGATGCTAAGATTGGTTATGCTGTTGTTGGGTAGAGATTTGTTTGTATAGGAGTACAGCAGTTTTGGTCAGATTCTGCTGCTGGTGGCAGTGGTGGTGGTGCTTCCCTCTGAGCAGAAGCAGTTCAGTTAGAGGTGTGTGCTGAGCTGCAGCCTGTGTCAGGAGGAGCCTGGAAACTGGAAATGCACTGGAGTCCATCAGGGAGTGAGCAGTCTAAAGGGGAACTTGCAATGCCTAATTAGCTAATGGGATAGCAGCCCAAGCAGGCATCTTATCCCAGCCATCAATCCACCCCAGCTGGCTTGGGTAGCATTGATTTTAGCTGTCTGTGGGTGTAAATCCCTGAGTTTGTTTATGCATCTCCAGTTGAGAGTTTTGTTGGTGTTACTGGTGCCTGAATTACTGAAAGAAGTTTCAGTTCTGTGTATGTACAGTAGTGCTGTGTCACATTGCATTATGTTGGAGCAGCTGACACCTTTCTGCTTTACTTTAGTACCTCTGCTCAGGAATATCCCTGCCACAGGGGTGAGCCTTGTTCCAGGGAGCAGCTGCCTGAGCCTAATGACTGAATAACCCCATCCCTGGAATTCCAGGCTTAATGCTTATGGAGAGGGCAGGTTTTCCAAAACACTGTGTAGGCCTCCAGTGAACAAGTGAGGGTCTGTATCAAAGCTAAGCAGCATAATCCTGTATTGCCATATGGGATTCCTGGATTCAGCTGTATCCAATCTGCAGAGCTCTGTATTCCAGAGTATAAAAGCAGCTGGTGGTCTCATAAACTTCAGAGCAGTGTGCTCTGAAAGGCTTCCCGTTATGGGAGGGATGTATTAGTAAAGCCTGACAGTGGACTGCTAGTGCTACACTTATTTCGTGGGGGGAAAAAAGAGCAAATAGCTTTTTCTCTGAAAAATTATGGATACACACTGAATTTCAAAACCTTAGCTGCTCAAAGTTTATGGTTTTGACTTGGTTTGGTTTTATCAAAGAGTTTTCCTTGTTTTCCTGCTGTAACATTTGAAGTTGTGTTAAAGGGTAATGTTTTACATGTTCTGAATCAGTTGCCACAATTCTCTTGTATTTTTGACTAAACAATGAAAGCATTCAGTACTGTTTGCAATGCTGGTTTAAAATATTTGTAGTATCTTAATCTTATTTAAATGTACATCTTTTCAGGACTTAGCTGTTCGATTGACTGATGATAATGATCCTTTTTTCCTTTATAACCTTGTCATATCAGAGGAAGATTTTCAAAGGTAAGTGAAATCACAGTATTTTCTTTGTGAAATATTTCTAAATGGCAAAAAAGAAAAAGGGAACGTTTTTAGCCTAGAGTGGTCCATGTTAGAGTTCAGGTTTTGGCAGTTTTCACTTGTGGAGCTTTGTCAGTGTTTTGCCAGTATTGTTCTCTGACCAGTGGGTCAAACAGCCAGGTTCAGGAGGGTGACCAGCTCGGGTTACACAGAGGAATTCTGCTGTAAATCTGTTTGTCCCAACTGCTTCTTACAGACTACTGTGTGTGTGAACTAGTTCAGGAAATGATTATGAGAAGAAAGTCTGTTTGCATGGACATGGTTTTACAGACCTTGGCCTGTATCTTAGGAGCTTCTTGCATAATTTTATCGATGGGTCTCATTTACTTGCTCAGAATTTGAGCAAATCATCAAATTTGGATTCCAGGCATGAACAGATGATCAGTACAGTTTTCTGCTTTCTTTGGGTATTTATTTGTTTTATTTTTGCTTTGTTTTGTTGTGGTGTTTTTGGTGTGGTTCTTTTTGTTTGTTAGGGGTTTTGGCAGGGGTGGCAGGGGGAGTGGCTTTGGTGTTGTTTTCAGAAAGGGAGCTGTGATCAGCGTGAGGATCAAAAGGCAAAAGCAAGGCAGTGTTTGCAGGAGTGTTTTGTTGCTCGGGGGCACAGCTTTGTGTGTGCACCGTGGGGTGTTTGTCTGGGTTTGCTGTGTCTGTGCAGAAGGGGGGGCAGAGATGGGCTAGGGGGGATTGAGGGAATGGCTGAGGCTCCCTCCTTGTCACGTGCTTGTGTCCTGTGCCTTTCCCATCCCTGCTCCACACTGTGCTCTGAGGGTGATGCCTACTCAAAGGAACAAGTTTGTTCACCACAGCAACTTCTGGTTTTTAATTAGTGCAGCCCCCTTGCAAGAACTCCTGTGATCAGAAGTGTCCTCTGGGGATTCTTATCCAAGAAGTGCTCCAGGATGCCCCTGCTCAAGCAGGGAGCTTGGACCAGCTGACCCACTGTGGTCTCTTCCAGCCTGAGCACTTCTGTGATTTTGTGATATGTGGACACACTTTTGGTTGAAAAAGACATGCTAGTAAACTTTAATGATCAGAACTGGTTCTTTATAATGTTGTAAACAAAATATTTTATAGGAAATAAATTACAGTTCTCGATATCATTACCATTTTTTTTTCCTGTCTGTTCATATAGTTTGAAATCCCAGCAAGGTCTCTTGGTGGACTTCTCTGCTTTCCCACAAAAATTTATAGATCTGCTTCAGCAATGCATTCAGGAGCAGAACAAAGATATCCCAAGGTAGGTCACAAGTGTGTGCCATATTGCTCTGTGTGTACCTGTTGAGTTCTTGAAACGCCTCGCAGTCACTCAGACTGAGAAGAGGCAGTAGAAAAGGGCAATCTGACCTGAATGTGTTGGTGGATGTGGCAAAACCTTAGTCTTTGGAGGAGAATTCTTTCTTGAGCAAAAACTGGACAGCCTTTTACTGCACATATCAAATATATTTTATTGGGAAATAGATTAGGATCTACAGGTAGTTTCAAGGAAAAAAAAATGCTAAACATTTGATTCTCTTGGTTTTTCCCTAGGTTTTTGCTGCAGTTAGTTTCTTCAGCACCTGCTCTAGATCACACACCTGTCTCTTTAAATGTAGTGGAGACCAACCCTTTCAAACACCTTACCCATCTCTCTCTAAAATTCCTGCCAGGAACTGATGCAGAGATAAAGAAGTTTTTAGCCAACTGTTTGAAATGCCTTAAGGTAAAATGAAAGTTTATTGTAACTGCAACTAAGCCTCAATGCTGTATGTACTTAAGCATTTTTTTCATTCTGAGTCATTCAGAAGTATGTAGCAAGTTGTATGCTCTGGTTTCTTTTTCCTTTTAGCCCAAATATGTAATTGCATGCAGCTACTTGGGTGCATGCTGTAAAATCTGAATTGTTTCACTGCCATCCCCCTGCAGTGAGGATGCATTTCCAGGCAGGCAGTGCCATTTGAAGCAGCAGGAGGGAGGTGTTCTGCACACAGTGCAGGTGCTGTGCAGCTGCTGAGTGCCCTGGCTGCTGCACTGCCCTGCTCACAGCCTGTGCTGCTGGTGGCCAGAGCAGCTGCAGCACCTACTGGAACCTTCAGTCTGTTCTGCACTGGGCTGGAGGAGAGCACAGGCTGCTGGTAATTGTGAGGCTTGGTGGGCTTCAAAGGACTAACTAAGAGCTATAAAAAGCCAATTAAAATTGGAATGTTGATGCAGTTTGGTAGCATGCTAGGTTTGATTTTGTGAGAAACTAAAGGTCTCATAGTTTGACTGTTGTCTGTTTCAGTTTCATAGCCTGGGATTTGTCTCTCCTGTTGTGCTGCCATGTTTCCAGACACCTAATAAGCCAATTTAATAACATAGATTTACAGTATTTCAGTTGATCTCTTGTTTAAGTAACTCCTTTGTAAGCATATCTTGTAAATAAGGTACTATTTCCTGGTAGAAATTTGGTAAGAATTTAATTTGGGGTTTTTACATTGTGGGCTAATACCTTTTCTTTTGAATTTACTAATGATATCTTATTCGGTATGACACTTAATTAACAAGGTGCTCT